CTTCTACATTAATTGTTAAATAAATTATAATTATTAAATCTATCAAGAGATGGTACATCTAGTCCAAATTTTTTAGCATTTAATTATTAATAATAGCATTAATATAGCCCAACGTATAGCTGGCAATCATTTGGTGTTAACCAAAAAAGTAAAATTTGATGATTGTACAAATCACCTTTTTTCCACATTTATGAAAATCATACAGAGTGTCTTTTTTAGAGGACTATCAAACACAAATTAATGATATTAATGATATTATAGGTAACAGAGGTCATTTACAAAATCAAAGAAGGAAAGACTGAAAGTCACCATGATTAAACAAAGTATGTAATATTAGGATTTGACAATTTGTATGTTCCAAGACAATCTGTAGTTTAAATAGACATCAAGGAATTTAAATAATGGCAAAGATTTTCCAAGAACTATTTATCTTGGCCTTGATTTGGTAGTTGTTTTCCCTTTTAAAAAATAAAAACATAAACATTGAATAACCCAATCTTTAAGATTGAATATAATTACATTAATGCTACTATTAATAATTAAATAAGTAATTTGGCCTAGAGGTAGGCATAAGACACCATCTCTTGACAAATTCAATAATTATTATTAAATTAATATTTAACAATTAATTTAGAAGGTTCTGAAAGAAAAGAATTGGCCTGAAGTGGAACTCGAACCTGCAACTCCTGTTTGCAGTGAGGATGCATTACCAGTTATGCTAATTACACTTCCACCCAGTCTTCACTTCTAGAACTATTAATTTAAACATAAGTATACTGGTTACTCACAGCACCAACTAGGGACGCCTTCAGTAACTCCAGCATCCCTCAACCTTCTACATTAATTGTTAAATAAATTATAATTATTAAATCTATCAAGAGATGGTACATCTAGTCCAAATTTTTTAGCATTTAATTATTAATAATAGCATTAATATAGCCCAACGTATAGCTGGCAATCATTTGGTGTTAACCAAAAAAGTAAAATTTGATGATTGTACAAATCACCTTTTTTCCACATTTATGAAAATCATACAGAGTGTCTTTTTTAGAGGACTATCAAACACAAATTAATGATATTAATGATATTATAGGTAACAGAGGTCATTTACAAAATCAAAGAAGGAAAGACTGAAAGTCACCATGATTAAACAAAGTATGTAATATTAGGATTTGACAATTTGTATGTTCCAAGACAATCTGTAGTTTAAATAGACATCAAGGAATTTAAATAATGGCAAAGATTTTCCAAGAACTATTTATCTTGGCCTTGATTTGGTAGTTGTTTTCCCTTTTAAAAAATAAAAACATAAACATTGAATAACCCAATCTTTAAGATTGAATATAATTACATTAATGCTACTATTAATAATTAAATAAGTAATTTGGCCTAGAGGTAGGCATAAGACACCATCTCTTGACAAATTCAATAATTATTATTAAATTAATATTTAACAATTAATTTAGAAGGTTCTGAAAGAAAAGAATTGGCCTGAAGTGGAACTCGAACCTGCAACTCCTGTTTGCAGTGAGGATGCATTACCAGTTATGCTAATTACACTTCCACCCAGTCTTCACTTCTAGAACTATTAATTTAAACATAAGTATACTGGTTACTCACAGCACCAACTAGGGACGCCTTCAGTAACTCCAGCATCCCTCAACCTTCTACATTAATTGTTAATTCCAGTGTTAATTAAACCAAGAATATTTTCCAGATGAACTCATTGTGTTTAATAAATTCTGACCACTTGCAATTTTACTTTTCTTTTGATCAGAGGACATTGATAAGTGAAAATATTCTTTCTACAGAAGCTGNGTATGGAGACGAGAAAAGAAAATTTACACACTGAAGTACTAATAGTTCACGAAAATAATTATTTTCGTAAACTATTAGTACTTAAGTATGTAAAAATTTATTACATTTCATGTTGTACGAGGGTTTTACCCATTTCTCGAACCGTGTCAGAGTGAATCCGTGCTATAAAAGTACCGTGTTATACGGGGGTTACCTGTATTTGTCTTCTCACTTAAATTTTATAAAACAAGAGATTAAAAATTATGATTTCATTTCCTGTTTACTAAAAACAAGCCTGTATAGATTTAACTCTTATGTTGTTAAATAAAGTTTTCTTCATATTTATTTTCAGATATGGTGGTATTGTGACATTTGAAGTCTAACAAATATGAGTGCATGAGGAAACTGTCCATAATATTAACAACTAAAAAATAAAATGCTACAACTATGCTACTCTATTTTCATATCCCTAGTCTTTTTCATCCATGTGCAGTAATGCCTGAAGCGTATTTGCTTGTGTGGATATAGCATGTAAAATATGTGAAAATAAATGTGAAGAAATAAAAGTTTTATTTAACAATGTAAGAGTAAATCTATAATGTCTTGTTTCTGTTAAATATGAAATGACATCACAATTTTTAATTTTTTGTTTTAAAACCTTTAAACATGAGGAATAATAATAGTAATAATAACGCTAACAATGTGGTAAAATAATAAAGTTACATGTAAAAAAACTAAACTAAAACTCCAAACTTACATTGTCTAGCTCCAGTACCTAGCATCTTATTCACTCAGCTATTGCCACTCTGGGATGTGAAACTTCCAAAGACTTACAAGCTAAAAACTAAATTTTCAGAGGCCAAATTTTTGGAAATGTTTGAGAAGTGGGTCCTATTATTTGGATGAGATGCTTCTGTTTAAGGTAATGTGCTCACCAAGTTTCATTCAAATTGGAGACCAGAACATCTGATTCTCCCCTTGTTAGCAATAGGAATCATTTCTGAATAATTTTTTAATGAATAGTTCTGAAATGTTTAAACAGTATTTTACAGGTTCTGTCAAGTCAAAATTTTTGTTTTAGTCTACTGAAAAAAAATCAAAGTGAAAAAAGTCATCGCAAAAAATTCCCCCAAATTTTCTGTCAGTCAATAAAAAATCCCCAATCTGGAAATGTTGGGTGGCATTGCAAAAAATTGCATTTGGTTCTTGAAGTCACTTCCTACTTTTCTGCTCAAACTTGCCATGTGATGTCATGAAATCACTAAGAGTGCATATACTTTTTGTTACAAATGGATCGATCTGTAAGATTGGATCAGTCTTTTCACTTAATACAGATTGCTTCAGTCATGTATTTTAGTTGGCAGAAAGTATATAAGTAGGATCGAATCATATTTACCTGAACAAATTTGTTAACAAAACGGCAAAATGGGAGCATGCATGTCATGCACTCTTGCCATACAATCTTGCAAAATTGTCTCTAAATACTTATTTTTTCATCTCAGTTTATCAGATATTTTAACAATGATGTTTTTACTTACCATTTATAAGTTTCAAGTACAATGCTTTTCATTGTTGATAGTAAACCATATTCCTTTGCAGTCAACTATAAGCTTGACTTTAACCATGGTTGTCGCCATCTTTAATCACTTTTATCCAATCCAAACAATCCTACCCTCCATTCAGATTAGTTTGATTGCAATTCAGTTGATCATTGATGGCATTTGTATACATTTGATCAGATTGCTATAGTTCATTTGTATACAGGATTTCAATGATTAGAGTAATTTTGGATCAGATTCAAAAAGTATATGCACTCTAGGTGTATGGTGCATAGGACTCCCATTGTACGGAAGCTCGACATTTTTCTGTTTTTCCTGAAGTGTGATTTGTGATTCAATTTCACGCTGAATGTCGAGACAAGCAGACAGGTTTTTATTGCCATTTGTAATTGCCAATATTATAATTTTTTGTTAATATATTTATAATTTGTAGTTTGCCACTTTAATAAAAATATTACCAAGTGGTGATTTTGACACTATTCACCACAACCTGAGCCTAATATGCATAAATTATATCATATTTTCACTTCTAAATTAACTGTAATCATCATTAAGTACTTTTGATTTTTTTGAATACATTCTCATGTGATTAAAATATTCATACTTTCATCAGAAAAATCCATTCCATCATCTTCATCACTATATCCACTCATTTCTGAACTAGAACTATGATCAGAGTCAGGAACATGAAAGTCTGAAAGCATAAAAATAAAAAATTAACAACAAAATTTTTAAGTATGAAATCAATATTTCATTTTATATTATTGTTATTTCTTATTATATTTGAATTATAATTAAATCATCATTACAAAAAATTAATACGTAATTATAGCAATAAAAAAATGTTAGGATGGTCTGATGGCCAAGGTGACTAAGTAAACTGATTATATTTTTTTCTTCATGCCAAAATGGGATAGAAACTGCAGGCTGTCTCATATTAAAATTCCATCATGAAATGCAAATGAGTATTGTTAACAATTTGTTAGTATACTATTTATGATATTGTTATTTTTATATTTATTTTAAAAAAATGTTATTTTTATTAAAATATGATATATTTAATAGTAAGTTGATGCAGAAGATTTTCCAGTGTTAATTAAACCAAGAATATTTTCCAGATGAACTCATTGTGTTTAATAAATTCTGACCACTTGCAATTTTACTTTTCTTTTGATCAGAGGACATTGATAAGTGAAAATATTCTTTCTACAGAAGCTGTAGTTCTTGGAAAATAATGGCCTAACTATTGAATAATTAACATCTTGGAATTCAAGATCTTTTTCATGCATTTCATTAAATATTTTGATCCATTTGTCAGCTTTTTATTTCATTTACCCAAGTTTTTGATTATTATTGCCCATTGATTGAATAATCAAATTTCATCTGCTTGTGTTTATGTAATATGTTCATAAAGTTGAATTCAATTTCATGAACATATCAACCTTCAAACTATTCTGTATTTCTTGCCATCCAAGGCATCTTCCACAGCAGTATCCATTCAAATTTTTTTTTACCCTTATCAATGTATAATAAGAATTTTCTAAATCATAATACATTATATAATGTGTTTAATGTACAAACTAAAGAACTAACTTTAAATTGATAAACACTAAACTATTTAATTTTTAACATAATACAAACATCAAAAATGTTTGTACATTTAAAAAGCACTAACAACTTTTGTAAATGTAAAATTTTTGTAAAATTTAACCAATTACAGCTCTGGAAATATGAAATCAAATTCAAGTGAACAACCCCAGGAATTTTTTCATGATCTGTCACATCATGCCAAAATCCAGTCCTCACCACCTGACTGATTATTGTGGACCTGGCTGAACCCATAATGGGTAAGACTAAAAGACCATCTTAATGCCCACAAGGCAAAAGGTAGCAAAAATTAAAACAAAAAGTTAAAGAAAAAATTGAATTAGAAAAATTTACCCAAAATAGAATTCATTGGATCTGTAAAATGCTCAGGATCAAAACTCTCTTTCTTTTGACTTCTAGATTTTGGAATTTCTGCACCTTCAAAATCAGACTTGTGATAAATAAACGATTTTAAACTTTCAGTTATGGTTTCGGTCAATTGCTTTTCATTTCTGGAAAATAAATGAATTAGATTTAACATTTCATTGTATAAAATTATTAAATTTCTAATAAATATGAACAAAAAAATTGATATTCTGTAAATTTTGATATAATGAAGAATATGTTAAACAGGATGTAGCCACACAGGGCAGCATTTCTCACACTAATGCTCTTTGACCCTCATTGTCTGTTAGCTTCTAACATTACCCCACATGAGTTTGAAAGTAATCACAGTATTAAAAAAAAATATCACAAGCATTTGGCAATAGGATGGAATAGAAAACAGGCACATCAGACTAAACTATTAGGCATCATGAACAAGCATAAGGTTAAGAAGAATAAAATTTAATACTTGTTCTTGTTCAGGCTTTTATTTTTTATTGACATTGTATCAATGTTTTGCATATGACTGCATGGCATATCAGTATATTAGCTCCTTGCACAATAATGTGTTGCTAGTGGTTGCGGACTATTGTATTTTTATGATAGCCTATCTACCTATATTAAATCTATGCAAGTCATCAGCCATGTGAATAATCTATATCTAGAAATATCTGGCTATATCCCTAATATCACTGAACTGTTAAAGTCGTTTGTACCACTACTAAGAAACTGACTGTTACACAAGATGGCACTCCAGTTCAGGTTGCCAGCAATAGGAACAGCTCAATAGACATAGTGTAGAAGACTACTTCAGACTAACATTGTAGATGTCCATTTCCAAACAGAACTAAGAATTGTCACTAAAAACAATACATTGTCAATATATCATGTATCAAAGTAAATCTTTATTAACTGGCATTGCAATGCATAACCAGAAAGAACACAAAATTAGAAAATAAATTTAAATACAGAGTGAAAACAGGGTAGAAAAAAAATAGGCAAAAGTATAGCAAGTTAGGGAAACATAAGTCAAAAATAAAAATACACAATATTGCTGTAAACTTGACAAAACAAACAACTATGAGGACAAAGTTGCAAAGACTATTGAAAATTGTTCATATTCCTGAGTTGCTTTCTTCTGATGTGTTTATAAGTTCTTCAAATGACTAATACACTTCACTGTTAGAAGCTGATAAAGTTTATAAGCCCAACTAATGTTTTAGGAGAGAGTGATTATAGGATTTAGCTTAACATTATTGAGCAAAGGCAAATGCTCAATGACATTAATAATGTAGATAATGCTGCAATTGTTAAATAAATTATAATTATTAAATCTATCAAGAGATGGTACATCTAGTCCAAATTTTTTAGCATTTAATTATTAATAATAGCATTAATATAGCCCAACGTATAGCTGGCAATCATTTGGTGTTAACCAAAAAAGTAAAATTTGATGATTGTACAAATCACCTTTTTTCCACATTTATGAAAATCATACAGAGTGTCTTTTTTAGAGGACTATCAAACACAAATTACACAACATATCAAACAGAACTTCAAATTTGCTTGTTTGAACAATGGAAGAAAACAGAAGGAAAAAAAATTCTGCAACTACAGCTGCCACCTATGTCTTAAATATAAAACAGTCCATGAACTAGCAATTCTATGTGGACAAAATGTTAACTAACATCCATGTCTCATGTCCCTTGTTGCATTAGTGTACATTTGAGTGTAAAAGGTTGTTCTGTACTTTTTAGAAAATTATCCGTAAGTTTGTAATTTATACATGGCTTCTGTATAAACTGTAATTTGTAGTAGTTGGTAACTTTTGTGAATATAAATAAATTGAAACTTAATTTTGTTGAACAAAATTAGTTTTGTTAAACAAAAAAGAGGTTAATTTTATTGAATTATAAATTTCTATATTTAAGTTTAAAAAACACCAAGACATATTAGAACAAAATTTAAATTATCTATGGTTCCATCTTTCAAGAGATTTTATTAAATAATATATTTTATATTATTATTTATTGTAAGATGACAAAAAAGCTTAATTTTGAGAGTAAAGATGAGTTTTTAAAAAAATTCTAAATGCCCATAAGTAAAATTTTTGTTAAATCTGATCCTATTTCACATAAAACATATGATCACCCTATCCTTTCTCTCTCCACCCCTTGATCTTTAACCATCAAAATTTAATAATATCAATGCCCCACATATATAGAAATAATCCTACCAAATTTCCAAATTTTTGGTTCATCCAGTCCTGAGAGATAAAGCAAAATAAACACCAACTCATAGCCACACAATTTTGTAAAAGTTTTTTTTTTTACATTTTTTGGGCACCTTCAGTGTCGAAACATTGAAAAAAAACAAAAAACCAGAAGGGATCAAAATTTGTTGACTACCATACTTTCATGGTGTTATAATTTATTACAGTCAGGAAGTAAAATGTGATAACAAATTTTATAGTTCAACAGAGTTTGCATAATTTTAAGTAAAAATAATTATTTTTTTTCATTTCTCATTCCCTTAATTTTGACATATTACAGCTATTTATAATGAAATTTTAAAATGCTACTTACCCAGATAAAGAATTTCTTTTACATTCACTTCTCTTTGAATATTCAGAAAGTAATTTATCAAGTTCTTCAGGTTTGATTTCCAACCAGCTATCATCTATCATTATATAAAGAAAAAATTTATATATTTTTTTAAATTTCATTTCTTCTATTAAACTATTTATATTTACTAAAATTATTTATCATTTTTTCTTTAAAAATTTAATTTTCAGAGATCTTAAAAAATACATTTCAAAAATAAAGAACATTTGAAAATAAGTTCAATAGAATCAAAGTCGGAAGAAAGTTTAAATCATGTAAAACATCGACTCCTTTGATAGACCTCCTTAAAAGGGATTTGCATAAACCAAAAGACTATGGAACCTTATTTGCTGCCTGGAGATCATTTTATGATATCCTGAATAAGAACTCTACTTGGGGCTCACAAGATATAATTTTATAAACCACAACATAAATCATTACTTAGTATGGAACTTAGAAAATACAGTCACATGGCAATTACATTGTTTTCAATATCTAAATAAAGTTTTTTAAATCAAAGATATGTCATTACCTGAGTAGATATTCCAATTTAGAACATTGAAATCTTAAACAACCCTGAGACAGGTTTATCAAAGAAACCAAAAGCATTTGTCAGAAAGAAAAATGAGGCCAGAATTGTGCTTAAAGGTTTGTTTTTTACATGATTTATTTGAAAATAAAAATTACTTAAAAAATAACTAAATTTTTAAAAGAATTGAGTAATACTGTTAAAATGGAAACAGATATAATGCTATATAATGAATTCTTATGTATAATGCCAGGACTAGTCTCTTTCCTATTATGTGTATTCAACAAAGACCAAAACCTCCAATCAACTCTTTTATTATCTTTACTGGGCTGCAATTTGAAAAAAGTGTAGACCTATAAATTCCCACTATCGCCTGTCCAAAGTTAGACAGATGAAATCAGAGACCAGATGTAGAAACCTTAGGGGCAGGAGGCCCCGATTAACTATATATGAACTTTCAATGCAAACTGGAAGTCATGTTATTTCAATTCAAAATCTTTCCCCAGAAAGCAGTTAATAGATAACAGGCATGACTATTGTTAAAGGAAAAATATGATGTATAGAGACAAGACACTATTGATTTGAGATGGACAGAATATATTTTAAATTAAATAAATTAAAAATATGATTAAAAATTGCCGTCGAGCATTGTGGCAATGTCAATAAATAATTGCTCATTTAGCAATGCATTTCAAACTGAAAACAAAAAAATTAACTTTACAAATATCTTTGGAATGCCACATCCAAGCAAAAAATGGAAAATGCTTTTTCAGATTGGTTTTCAACAAGGGATGACATAATTGTTGTGTGATCAATTCTGATCACCCTGTATTATAGTAAGAAAAGTGAAGATTAAACATCTATTTGCATTTGTTTCATAACTCTGACCTTACTTTATAAAGAATTTTCGAGTTTTTATTCTGATTAAATTATTATATTTAATCATTAATTGAAAGTAAATAGCAGAAAAATGTTATAACTATTTATTTGTACTGTCATTTTGAAACTTGAATTTATAATAATTTTTCATTTAAATTCTTCCATTTATCTGTTTTATAATTTTCTTTCACACAAATGTGAAGATGTAAGTTTAAATACCATTTGGCATAAATTAGACAATACAGTGGGTGATCAGTTAACGAACATAATCCGTTCCAAGACTTTCTTCGTTATCTGAATTGTTCGTTGACTGATTATCGATTTACCATAGTTTTTATGGGAATTTGATTAATTCGTTCCGGAGACTCCAAAAAATAAAAAAATAAAAACTTTTTTATTAAGTTTATTTATATGTAATAGTAAAAATACATATATGCAGTCTTGCATTTTCATTAGTCATGCTTTTCCGTTTGTGGAGGTTAAAGAATCTGTCCAATATTGATTGCTTTTCTCTCTTCTTCAAGATTTTTCAAAATTAATAGCATTGTAATTGTAAATATCCCTAAGCCTATTAACCTCAACCTGGTTTGGATGCCATTCTAAGACATCATCCCGCTTCAAAAATATGCTTAATTAATATCAGATATCGACATTAATTCTCTTTTTCAGAAGATAACATATCTCACCGAGATTCTTGGTGTTCTTCTGGCGTCAGATCAGTTTCAGGTTCCATTAAAAGCTCTTCAATGTTCTTTATTTCTCAGATGTGATTTTTGTAACTCTTTTAGCTGCTTGAGTCTTCTCGATTACACTATCTTTTTTAGATAAGATTGAACTGCAATGTACTCTAGATCTATTCAATCCATACTGCCCAGCAACACCAGCCATCATCTGCTCACTCTCTACCTTTGCTATTATACTCTCACCTTTCAAAAATAAAAACAGACGCAAAACTTAACGAGTGCCCGCCCAACAGTCTCACGAATACTATAAAAGAATTGTTTCTGTCAGAAAAATAAAAGGCTGGAATTACAAGGGAGAGTTTCAAAGTTTGGAGGAATACTATCCAATCAGTATCTTCCAAGTTGAGTGTCGATGTTGACATCTCCAGGGCTCCAAAAAGTTTCGAATTATTGCCTGAAGACAAGGGAAGATCAATCAGTATTTGCTATTTTTGTCACTTCTTTTTATGTTTGTTCAGTGAAGTGTTTGTTGTCCAATCATAAAAATCTTTCGCTAAAGTGTTCGTTATTTGCACCCACTGTATACTGAAAGAGAGAATTATGAAAAAATTTTCTGAAACTAAAATATGATTAATTACAAGTTCCAGTATTCAAATAGTGTAAATTTGGTTTTTATAATAATAATTTTCAAGTGTAAATTAAAGTTTAGATTAGTCTATTTAAAATAATATCATTTGATTCTAAGATGCACTATGAGTTTGAAATGAAATTTTATGGTGGTTTTTATGGAGCTGAAAGATTTGAAAATAATCAATTTTATCAAATTTTGTTAAGTAGTAACAAGTTAGAAAAATAATATAAACACAATGAAATAGGTAATGTTCAGTAACTCTATTTCCATGCTCTTCTTCATGTGCAATAGCTTTTTATTTAAAGCTGCATTATAATGTTATCTTAAAGACATTTTAAATGTTAAAAAACAGTTTAAATTAAATGGTGATTATCGGCAGAATCCATTTGAATTGATGTGACCATTGGTAATGCACAGAAGACCCAAAAGCATAAATTAATGGTGCATAATACACCATGTAATCTAGTATAATCAACACTGATTACTCTTTTAGATTACAAATGTAAAATTTATGAGGTTAGATTACAAAATGTATGAGATTACAATTGTAAGAATCATCTCTATTATGAATAAGTAAATGAGTATTACATCTTAGAATCCAGGAAATATATTAACTACTGTATGCATTGTAATAAACCCACGATGAGATTATTTTTTAAAATTTGATTGGGGTGTGGATTTACTCAAACCTGTGGGGCTATTCGAATCTGCAAATTTATTTTTTCAAAATTAATTTTTGTATATATTAGTGTGAGTGGCTGCAGGAATCATTAAATGAAAACCAAAAAATAATTCTAAATAAGTAATACAGATGACAAGAAAATGTGAACAAAAATGTATATAATTAAAATTTTGAATAAGTTGTTAACAGTAATCCTTAGCTTAGAAAATGTGATTTAGAAAGTATGATTTGAATAAACCCATATGTGGGTTTCTTTTTTTAAATATAAGTTTACATGAATTATCAGAATAATTTAAATGTGTGTGTTTAATCACATGCTTAGAGTATTTTCTTTTACTAAAACAAAAATTAATATCATATTCAATGCTTATTTTATATAAAAAATTCAAAAATATATAAGATTTTAGTTTTAAAATTAATATCAGATACTATTAGAAAATAATGTTAATTACCATCTGGAGGTTTTAGCATTTTTTCTTCTTCTTTCAACTCTTCATAATTAATAGACAATGTTTCCAACAAATGTAAAATTTTGGCTCCTGGAGTCAGAAAATCATTTTTACTTGTTTTTACAAAATTCTCACAATAAAAATATTTAGCTTCTTTCAGCAATTTCTGATAAAGAAGAGAACCTTCTAATTCTCCCTGCAAGAAAAAATTAATTATATTTTTATAATATAATTAATTTTTTAATATATAATATATATATAATAATATAATTAATTTTTAGTAATAATGAACTAATATAATTTTTAAACAAACAGCATTAATGGTTAAAAAATACTGTTTTTGAAAAGCCAATTTAAATAATTAATTTCATTAATAAATTTAATTTTTATATTTTAACTGAAACCAAAATTACTTACTCTAAAATAACCTTTATCCGTAAGTGTCTGTAAATATCTCATCCATCGATTATCACCTGAAAAGTCAACATCTTCAGGCAAGGTTAAGTTGATTTTAGATGATTGTTCTGTATTTGCTACCAATATTTCAAATCCACAAGCCTTTGAGAATAAAAATAAGATTTTTGATATACAGAGTTTTACACAGAAATATTAATCAAAATACAATATTTTAAGATTTAAAAAAATTTAATTTTCAAATATTTTTCTCAGATATAAAATAAAACTGTAAACTAGTTGTAAGTCCAAAATTTATTGGATAGATGTTTTTTATTCTACATATCCTAGCATTTCATCATTCAGTTAGATTTGAGAAAAATTCTCTCCAGAGTGGCCAAACTGCATCTTGTAACCTGCAGTAAGTTCTAGAAGAACTTACTGCAGCTCCTATATGGTTATAACATACTGTATAGTAATACTGTAATATTATACAATATTACTTACAGGATGTGCTAGTAGCATGTCTCAAGTTTATAAAACAAAATTGTATGCTCTTCTAGATCATTATTTCAGCATATGAATGCTGAAATAAGGGTCTAGAAGAGCTCGCAAGCCATAGTTTGGCCACTATAAAACTCTTGTTTTATTCGTAGAACATTAGAAATTTTCTATTTTAAAACTTTGATGAAATTTTTTAACATACTAGACTTAGTTCTGAAGGACAATTATATATAAAGTCATCCATAAAAGAACTTATGAATCATCAACTTTTATTTATTTATCTGGTAACTGATAGTCTTTTGTCTGATAAATTTTAGATTTAATATACTATCATTTTTATTTTATGTGCATATTGATAAGAAGCTATGCTGATTTATTGTATTTTTCTGAGATATTTAGGTAATCAGTAATTTTAATTTTCTTCAAGTTTGAGCAAATATAAAAGCAATATGCTGACCGATTAAATAATTTTAGAATAGTCTGGAAATAAAGAATCAACCCTGAGTGGGATTTAAACCCAAAACTCCTGCTTACCATGTGGTCATACTGCCACTTATACCACCCAGACCTCTAAGCAATTCTTCACTTCCAGACATATTTAATTCTTAATATCATCATCCACAGTTACTCATTACACCAAATTCTACAGCCACGACCTTTATAATCATCCACTATGGCACTCAGCCAGCTATCATTTTACCCCAAAATGATATATATATATAAATATATAAACAAAATCCAATGTATTAATAATAAACCAAACAATCACCATAATTAATCAGGCTATTTTTTGCTACTTTTATCTAATTATTAATAGTGACAAAAAATAGCCTGATTAATTACAGTAATCATTTGATTTATTATTAATATATCAGGCTTAGTGATGTTTATATATAAAAATATATAATTAAAATACTTGTCATAGTATGTGATAAGTTTGTTAATACTGATCCTACAAAAATTTTTCTGCTTTCACAATCAGTCTTGCCATGCAATAGCCATACAGTTAAAGATGACAGCTACTGTGCTAGCCTAAAGAAATCACAAGAAACCATGAAGTTGGAAATGATAATCTTTTGAGTGAGGGAATGATTCCCCTCAATGAGAATGGTTGGCTACATATACTGGCATTTCAGAAATAAAAAACTGAAAGTTCAACATACCCAACAACAGCCAGGACATGTGTTAGTTGCATACAGCATGCAACTGGATAGAACATACAAAATAATAAGTAAAATAAAACAGGATGCATACAATTTATCTATAAGCATAACTCTAATGTATACCACTTGTGTGTGCTAGAGCCAACAGACTTAAACATCAGAGATTTATGAAATGCCAATCACAATAGGTAATGAGAATTGTATCAGCTGATACATAGGGTATATAGCATGCAACCTCTCCATTAGAATTAAACAGAATGAGTATGATATTAGGAAAGCAAAATGCACTATTGCATTAGTCGTACTATCCATAGTTCCAGAGACTATTTCACATTTTAGGATCATAAAACTCCTTCAAACATCCAGAAACCCAAAGGAAAACAGGAATGTAGAAACAGTCAGCATTTACAAACATGCCAAAAACTTCCAATGTATTAATTATAAGGACACAAACTACCTTTCGGCAGCATGGAAATATTTAGCATTATACATATCTAATGCCTGATAGTGACAGTATTAGTAGGAGTTCCTGCATGTGATTAATTTTGCATGTACAGTATATATATACATTCAATAATTATTATTTTGATGGTTTGGATCAATTTATTGATATATTCTATACTTACATTTATTTTTAACATTATACATTATACAATGTTAACATAACATAAAATAACATTTAACATTATACAATGTTAAAAATAACTGTAATATTTAGTAATATTCAAAAATCAACACAATTTTACAATGTTCCAATTTTGAAATTCAAATTTGGTAATTCAGATAATAAGTAATTTTTACTGATGTAACGAATATTCGGTTATTATTTGGTATTTGGCCTATTTTTCGCTATTCGGCCGAATATCGAATATTTAATCACTATTCAGCCAAATACAGAATACCTAAAAACAGGAGTAAGACATAACAAAAACAGTAAATTAATCATTTTAGTATTTATATTTAATGTTATCGGGTTAGTGTTGTTTGTTTATATTTATTTATAACTTATAACATGCACAATAAAAAAGAAAATAACATTAGTCACATGTATTCACAATTTATAATTACAAAGATCAGCACACGTACACACCTATTTGTTCGAGAATCATTGCACATCTAAAGGTCTGATCCTGCCTATCCTTCTTTTTAAGTGCTCGTCTTTGCTCTTCCCTTTCTCTTTTCTCTATTGTTCTAGTCCACATATGCCCATGCATACATCATAATATGTGCTTACAATACTTTTGATTAGTCACTTTTCCATCGTAGATTTCCCATTTTACAATTACATGACTCATATCTTGGTGATAATGGAGAAAAGAGACAGATAGGATGTCGGTATAAGTCACAGTTATGATTTCACAGATTCGAGACAGCTTGGTAGCCCAAATGGCCCTAGGCTTTCACACATGCACGCTAAGTGACTTTCATTACAAGCATTTAGATTTCCGAAGTCTATGACAACAATTGTTTGGCATTGACGGCCACGAATTTCACACCAATAAGCTGCCTCAACTTGTTTGATTATGTTATCAACTCAATTTCATATTTATTTTCACATTTTCACTTCGCGGTCCTTCTCTGTTCTTTTTCCGTTATTTACACGTGTAGGTCATTTTATTGTTATTCACATTTGATATCACCATTTATCACATACTGCCATGACACTTGTCTGTCCACTACAACTGTCAAGAATTACGCGATTGGCAAAGCACAGTGACAGCGGGCCAATAGAGAGCAGGGTCCTTGCCATAATGCGGTTTGCACGCCAATTTTTGTACGTGCATTAATCAAGCCGAATATTCAGTATTAGGCCTGAGGCCGAATATACTATTTGTTGCAACACTAGTAATTTTTTATTACTCCAATTTTCAATATCCTAAAAGTGGCTTCAAAGATGGTCAAAAAATGTTAATTAAATAAATAGTTTGCTGGTTAAGATTAACCTGTTTTTGTCTTGTAATCAAATTAAAGCACTAGTTTATGAAATATACAACAGTAATGATAAAAATAATACTTTCGAACAAGACACGTTCAGATTACTTCAAATTGATCTTATTAATGACCAGTTCTGTCAAAATTCTAACCAAAATATAATTCATCAATCAGTTTTATTTATTTGTTTTAAATGTCTTTCAAAGAATATGCTAAAATAACTTAATAATTTATTTTAGACTAATCATATATTTGTTAATTTTATAATTTTGATTGAAAATCTTTATGTATATGATTAAATATTATGGTAAAACATGAAATATCAGTATAAGCTAATATGTAGCATCTAAAAATGGTCTTTTAATTTGAACTGTTTAGGCCATTCCTCAGTTTGAATTAACAAGTCTATTCTATTGAACAGACTTGTTAATTCAAACTGAGAAATGGAGTAAACAGTTCAAATTAAAAGATCATTTTCTGCCCCTGGGCCGAATTGGAAAGAAAACTTTAGGCCATTCCTCAGTTTGAATTAACAAGTCTATTCTATTGAACAGACTTGTTAATTCAAACTGAGAAATGGAGTAAACAGTTCAAATTAAAAGATCATTTTTAGATGCTACAGAACAGGAAAAATAATGATTTTAACATATGGCAAGCAGAATAATGTTTAATCAATAAGAAATACAAAAGAAAGATACATTAGTGCATTAATGGAATAAAGTAAATAAATAAATATTTTAATGTAAATAAATAGATAAATAAAGAAATCATGAGAAGCCATTATAATCAAGCACCACAGGGTGATGGTAAGCTATCCTAATCATGCACCAACTGATTTGAAATGTTTTTAAATTTTAATTTATTTTAAAATTTGATTTTTTAATTAATTTATTAACTTTAAATTCAATCCTTAAATTTCAAAAATGGAAAGATGTTAATCTACTAACACATGTTCTTGATTCAAATAAACAGGAGGCAGCACAATTGGTTTCTAATTATCAAGAGAATTTTATATTGATTTAAATAGGAATCAGATGGAGACTAGTACCCACTTAGAATTAAGAGGAAATTCAATTATGAGTTCAAATTAATGAGAGTCTAGTGCAGGGGTGGCCAATAGTTTCTGCCCCTGGGCCGAATTGGAAAGAAAACTTTTTTCATGGGCCAAACCAGAGGCTACCCTAGGAAGATTTTCAGGTGGTGCGAGATCTCATTGTGGTGTCACTCCGTAGAGACTAAATTGTACATAAAGATTATAGATACGTTTTCCACATTATCATGCATTATCAACATTCTATGCTGTGCTGAAGACATTTCTAATGGAGCATTAACTCTAATCGCACAGTTGACCTTTTTTATTTTTAGCTGTCAGAATTTTTCGTCGAGATATTCGGACTTAAGTAGCTAATATTGAAAGATTAATCGCGGGCCACATAAATTCATTAGACGGGCTGGATCCAGCCCATGGGCTGTATGTTGGCCATGCCTGGTCTAGTGTATTAAAAAAAAGCCTAATTAATACTCAATTAATTCACTAATAAAAAAAAATCATTTTAATTTTTTTCTCTAACACATTTATTCTTTTCTTTATTAAGAGTATTCTCAATGAAAAGTTAGTAGTTCTTATTAAAAAAATAATAATTTATAAACTAGAAAATAATCTAAAATTCTAATTTTCCTAATATAAAAATGCATTAACTCACAAGTTTCATTCCTAAATCATGTGATTTAAAATCCGGACTTGTAGGTGATGGCATATTCCAACCAACTCTTCTATCAGGTGAGTACTGTTGCTGAATTAATTGTGCATATAAGCATCTTGTGAATGTCACCTATTCAAACAATTAACATTAAATTTAATAACTAAATATCAAACTCGTTTTTAAAACACTTAATGAAACAATAAACACCTTCTATCGCTGAGAAATGTTTGTTTAATAAAAATGGTCTATTCCATGAGGCTGAAAACACTAATGTTTTCAGCCTCATGGAATAGACCATCCTCAGGTGTAAATGAGTTCGAACGTATTTTAAAACTGTAACAATGGAACATTCGAACAACACATTCAAATTTAAAACAAAAATAAGCGCTAGAAAGTGTTTAACGTTTCATTAAGTGTATTAAATTTAATATTCATTATTTTAATTGATTCATTGTTTTAACTGTGTTAAGAAAATATAAATATTAATATAAAACATATCTTTTAAAAATTGAATTAACATCCTTAAGCTGTTCAAGTACAACTGAACTTAAAAAGAATTTTAAAATCTGTATCTAGTTGATGAATTAAGATGAAATGAGAAAGATTTATATGTAAATCAATTCCTACAAAATAATATAATTTTTTTGCATTTAAGTTTTATTTTAAAATAGAATTTAACTTACTTGTGCCATTACTCTAGTTTCAGGAGGAAAATATTTCATAACTCTGCATGCCTGAAAATATAAAATAAATTCAAAAAAATATAATAATTTATAAATATTTATTATTATAAATAAATAAATAAATATTTTTGAAAGTTTGTCTCTGTTTTTTCTTCTATACAAATTAAGGGGGAACTATCTAAAACAGCCTCACAGGTAATTTTTACCTCTGAGTAGCCTCAAGAGCTCTGAGTTACCTCAAGGTAAGTAATAGTATGGTTTTNCTATAAATAGTGGATATCATCAGGATAATTTTGTCGGTTTGTCCACTATTTAGAAGTAAATATAATAGATGTCCTATTTGAAAGGTCTGGGGATTGTAAAAATGTCCATTAAGCAGAGATGTCCACTATTCGGGAGTGGAAGTTTTACTGTATACAGAAATAACAATTTACAAATTGATTTGTGCATTTCTTTCAGATCTGGGCCCTAGGCAATTTTAATTGTCTAGTTTGCCTAGGCCTGACTCGAGAATTGTTAAGTAAAAATTAAAACAGGCCACAAATAAATTTATAACAGTATAGAAAAGGCACCATATTGAAAAAAAAAAATTCATTGCAAAATTGTCAATTAGCTTGAAATATTGCCAGTCTTGTTATTGTACAAGTGGAGGCCAATAGGTCAAATGCATCTCATCCTAAAAGGTCCATTGTGGACTTGCTGGTCTTTGGCAACATTGCTCATATTATCATCTACCATTAAAAATGCACTTGGCCCACAAATTTTTTTTATAAAGGCAAAATAAGCAAAAGCAGCACCAGCTCGTTCTGTGATTAGTCAAAATCTGTCACAACTATACTTATGAAGTTCAGAAAGACAACATAAACCAGATGGATAATGTAGGCTATGCACTTTGCTCATGTCAAGTATTATACAATCATAGTGGCCATGTAAACTTATTATTTTTATCTAAATAAGTTGTTCAAAGCTCATATAAATATTTTTGTTTATGTATTTATGAAAAGATCACAACACATCATATACTGAAGTATTCAATACCACTGTTAATCATTCCTAATTATAACTCCATGCTTACAACTTTCTGAGAAAAAAATTTGATTATGTATTGTAAAGAAAACAGAACTATTTAGACAATTCTTGTGTCATTGTTAGCCCTTAAAAGTAGACTGTATTAACATTAGTTGATGTTTTTCCAGTTTTAAAGGTACAAATTACTCTCAACTTATATTCAAGTTCATTTAACATTTCCTTCAATTTCAATAACTGCCTTTGGTACATATTATATAGTGTTAAACTGATGCTAAAATTAAGTGCATCAATTATTTATTGATGCTAAATATCAGCCAAGTTGTAAGCTATCATGTTACAGCCCACAAACTTTACATGGAATTTGCTTGACCTGACTGTCAATTGTTCAAAAACAATTGACTAAACTAAAGTAATTGTTTTTATCATATTAAATCACTCAGGTTTGATAACTTACACAGAAATTTTATTTCCATAACTTTTTTAGTTTACTTCTATGAGTCTACTAAATCAATTAATCATCAAAAACTGAAAGAAGTTGCTGAAAATTTACCATGAAATTTATTAAAATGGAAAGATGTTAGTAGATTAACATCTTTCCATTTTTGAAATTCAATCCTTAAATTTCAAAAATGGAAAGATGTTAATCTACTAACACATGCTCTTGATTCAAATAAACAGGAGGCAGCACAATTGAGTTCGAATTAAAAAGAGAATTTTATATTGATTTAAATAGGAATCAGATGGAGACTAGTACCCACTTAGAATTAAGAGGAAATTCAATTATGAGTTCAAATTAATGAGAGTCNGTAGTCATTTCCAAAAAATTCTCGGGTGATCATCAATTTCTTTTAAATGTTCCTTAGTTATCATCCAGCAAAAATTTAAAAGTATACAATTATATTGTTTTAAGAAAAATAAATAAATAAATAAATAAAAATGAAACAAAAAATTTAGGTTTCATTTTCAATACTCATAAAACTGCAAGTACTTTTCAGAATATATGTGAAATATGCAAAGAAGCCTACTTCCCCTGGCATTCATATACTGGGTGGCCTACAACCTGGTGGATAGAGCATTGTCTTGATTTTGCTCTATAACTTTTACTGATATTAATTTCATTTTTACTGATGTTGACAAAAAAAGAAGCAATAAGTTACAATCTGTCAACTATAATACAGATGTCCAATGCATATATTTCTTTCTATAAAACAAACAGTTTGAATACAATTTTCTGATTGACTGTGATATGATTTAAATGAGACTTATAAAAATTAAACATGAGATAATACTGAATTAACTGATATGATCCAATACTGATATGACAACTGATTTGATCAAATCCAACACTAATACTTATTTTTATCCAAGCTTGACAAATGTCAATGATAAATGAAAGTTTGTTGGTCTAGAAAACATTCACTTTGTTTACTAATCATTTAAATTCAAATACAGTATAATCTATAAATAGTGGATATCATCAGGATAATTTTGTCGGTTTGTCCACTATTTAGAAGTAAATATAATAGATGTCCTATTTGAAAGGTCTGGCGATTGTAAAAATGTCCATTAAGCAGAGATGTCCACTATTCGGGAGTGGAAGTTTTACTGTATACAGAAATAACAATTTACAAATTGATTTGTGCATTTCTTTCAGATCTGGGCCCTAGGCAATTTTAATTGTCTAGTTTGCCTAGGCCTGACTCGAGAATTGTTAAGTAAAAATTAAAACAGGCCACAAATAAATTTATAACAGTATAGAAAAGGCACCATATTGAAAAAAAAAAATTCATTGCAAAATTGTCAATTAGCTTGAAATATTGCCAGTCTTGTTATTGTACAAGTGGAGGCCAATAGGTCAAATGCATCTCATCCTAAAAGGTCCATTGTGGACTTGCTGGTCTTTGGCAACATTGCTCATATTATCATCTACCATTAAAAATGCACTTGGCCCACAAATTTTTTTTATAAAGGCAAAATAAGCAAAAGCAGCACCAGCTCGTTCTGTGATTAGTCAAAATCTGTCACAACTATACTTATGAAGTTCAGAAAGACAACAGAAACCAGATGGATAATGTAGGCTATGCACTTTGCTCATGTCAAGTATTATACAATCATAGCACAAGCCAAAGATGCTTTTATTGATCCTGGCTGTATTAAAAAAAATTGCATCTGGTCTCTTGTAAAGCAGCACTCCCTACCAAGTTGATGTTTGGCAAAAACAACAACCACCATACATCATGTAGCCATCAATGGCAAATCACATGCAGAGATGTCCTGTCTACTGTGGGTTAGTTTTTCATCACATTATGTTTATGCCATGTATGTAACATTGATTATTCTCACCTTATTAAAAACCTTACAGATTATAAAACTGCATAATAAAACTACTTTAAATATTATGAAATAATGAAAACTGTACTGAATTATTTTGGAATATAAAAGCTTAACTTTTTAGAAATATTTTTTACAGCTGTATCTTATTTAATTTAATATTTTGAATTTTTTAAATTATTAGAATCCAGTTTAAATTTATCTACACTTCTGATATTATTTGTTTTATACAGTCGACCCCCCTATAACGTACGTTCCTATAAGGACAATTCCTATAACGCAGCGAAAAAATTGTAGCAACTTTCGTATAACGTACCTCCTATAATGTCGTTTCGCGACAAGATTGATAGAGTCTGGACCAATAGTGGATGAGCAGCCGAACTACTTTCCTCCGACCCTGCGCCACGCTACGGAGCGGCTAAATTGAGTTTGCTATCGTCTGTTTAGTATTATATATAAATTATATATAAATTAGGTACTGTACATATAATTATATATTAATTATATATAAATTAGCTACTGTATATATAATTATATATTAACTTAATTTATTGTAACTTTATTATAATTATATATATGCTTTCTGCCGCCTGGCAACACGCTACGGAGATTTTAGGCTAGTAAGTTGAGTTTATTATCGTCTGCACAGTATGTAAATTAGGTACCGTAAGTCTAATA